AGCTTTGAGAAATCAGGCTAAAGCTGCTCCGCAGTGCTGCATGGAGCCAGCTTGGGTGTGCCACACTGCAGCCCAGGTAAATCACCTGCAGATGACAGAGTCAAAATTATGAGCCTGAGGGTCACTCCCAAGCACAGCATTACACAGAAGTTTACGCGGATCATCACTGAACGTTCCAGGAAATTGAGACTACTCAAAGAGCATTCATAAACACAGTCACTCAACTGTTGTATTAATTATTCACTAGGAATTAACGTCTCAGCTCTCCTCATTAATGCCCAAGAACATGCTATTCAATACTAGAGTACCTCCTGTGGTAAACGACTGTAAACACAACAGTATCCTGCAGAAGATCACACATTCACTACATCTTTCTTTCATATGGCCAGTGATCTGTTTCTTATGTCACAACTTTATTAAAAATACAATCTGAAACCACTCAAAATAGCACCAAAACGGCTTGTACAACATTGTAATCACCCTTGTGCCTCACACCATTAGAAGATAAAAAGGTATAAAAATAATCAGCACCGGTTATTTGCAGTATTCCTAAACACCATGGAGGAAATAACAGCATCAGCTTAATCATCAGCCAAACCTCTCTTCTTTCCATAAACTCATTCTGTATCTAATGAAATCAGCGCTGCTGGTGGTGTAGGTTGATATTAGTCAATGTACGATCTTGGCTCAATTTTCAGACATTTGGATCACCTATTGCAGCAATGGAAACTGATGAAGCTCTAAACTGTTCCCCAAAGAAGGTTCTGTGCAAAGGAAGACTTGCATCAACTGAGTGATACAAAGCTGCTGTAAAAGCTGAAGTTCTGTATAGGTGCTAAACATGAGGTGGTGAGAACTTAACTTACAGCTTTTGAAAAACAGCTATGGATATGTACCTAGTGACTACATATCTTGACGTAATACAAACAGCTTTTTACCAAAAGTAAAAAACAAACACACAGGCACTGAGAACACCACCATCTTAAAGCTCAACACTGACAGTGCTTTCTTCCCCAAGACTAAGCTCCAAGAATTTTCCATCCATTAATCAATATAAATTATGTCTTTCTAGGCATTTGCTATTGTATCTCTCACATTCGTAACACGAAAAAGTTGCGAACAAAAAGCGTACAAAAATAATTAGGCATCAGTTCTCACAAAATGCCTCTGACCATGGTGGCATCACCCCATTCCTACAGGTGATGAATTCTTGCATAAAAAGTGTAGCTAGCTAATTTACTCAGAACCGCACACAAAGAGTCTATGGCAAGAACACAAACTGAAGCCAAAAATGCTCATAGGTTTAGCCACGACATGTTCTGAATAAACATGGTGATCAAAATGAAATTTAGATAATAACAGGAATATCAGATGTTTGAGTTCAGAAGAAAATAAAAATCAATCCCATTTGCAATTTTTATCAGGGATGCTACACATTTATATATTGTTTCAACACACCAACCACTCTTGTTATGTCACTGTTACGAATCCTGCACTCACTAAAATTCATCACATCCTGCTCACTCACAGCAATTTGACAGAAAAACAAATGAGAACGGAAAACTGAAGCTTTGCCATGCTGCTGAGTGTAACAATCATGGAATGAAATCCTGAATCCTAACTTTGAATCTCTTTTTACCAATAGACAACACTGCCTACAAAATACTTACATATACGATAATTATTATTTTTGTAGCGTCACGCTTATATGAAAGTTAACTTGCCGGTCTGAATTCAGGAAACAAACTGAATCACAATTGTAAAAGCAAAATATTACTGAAACACTATTGACTTTCAAAGAGTATGAGGAAAAATTAATTGGCAGATGTTTTACATAGCATAATTAACAGTTCATTTCAATGCTCTGTAACAAGATTAAGATAATTATGCTTAGAAACAGAAATGTAATAATGATAAATTACTAGTTTTCATATTACGGTCAATCTCCTACATTCCAAATAATCACGATGTTTAGAAATAGGTGCATCTGTTCCATGCTGTCATCAGCTATACAAATGGTACAGACTCATGGCTGGGTGAAACAATCTTTCAACCAAGATACATGAAATTTCCTTGCTTCAGGAGTAAATGGAGCGCCTGTTCCGTTCATCAGCAAAACAGAAGGTAAAAACAGCAGTACCGTTTTCACCAGGGCACACTTACTGGATAGAAACTGAAGTTGCATTAGCAATTTGCATTTCTTATGGATAACTGGAGAGCAAAGCTTAAATTCTGCGAGCTTAGCAAGTTACAAAAACTCCTCATATGGAAGTCCAAGAATGGGAATATGAGAATCTGTGCTCTCTGATGGTGTGCAAAATACAAAGTCATATGCTTTCCTATATGGGTAGTAAGAAATAACTCTCTCAAGGATTTCAGGCCACAAATAAATTAAGATAAAACTAATTTTCAAGGTTTTCTTTTATTACATCTATGAAGACTCTAACTAATGCATCCAAGTGCCATAATATTAGTGTAAACCATTTCAAAGTAACAGTTACATGACTGCAACCCCTGAGTGTTAATAATGTGTTGATAAATTAGGCTTTATATTTTGGGGTCTACATATAAATTTTATTTCAGACCTTCCATTTTCAAGTGTTTTTTTCCTTTTTTAATTTCAAAAGTGCATTTTTCTTCTATTTCCCCACAAAGACATAACAACAACAAAAAAAAACCCGCAACCATTTTGCCTTCAAATTAAAAACAGACTTGTATTTCACCCCTCTCTCATTTCTATAGCTTCACTGCTTTCATCATGCTTTTTTTGGCCTTTTTTTTTGCTTTGTTTTCTACTATCAAGTCCTTGACACTTGAAGACTAAAACCTCACAACTAACAGCACAAAGATCAGACCAGGCACAGAAATAGAAATTGCAAGATTAGAAATCTCAAAGACCTGAAAAGTAGACAGAGGAGGAATTAATAGGGATTGAGGCAGAACCAAGGAGAATAAAGGAAAGCAATGAAAAATACTTTCAAAAATAATAATTAAAAAAAAAAAAGTGTGTGACTGTATTATTAATGCGCAGCTGAGGAAAATTAGTTCTGTAGAACTAGCGTATCACACTTATCCAAAGCAAAGTAGATTGGAAGAAGGGAGGTAAGTGCAAAAGCATTGTGCATTATAAATACCCACTGACGCCTTTCACCTTTAGTCCATTTTTTCATTCCCACCCTGGAGTAGGCAAATTTAAAGAAACCTATTGTTCCTACTATTGATTACTGTTGCTCTGAGCCTTCAAATATATATTAAAAATCCCCCCAAAATCCCACCTCATGATGAATGAAAAACCCAAGACATTATGCCAAAAACATCTGACCAGCTTTCTAGCTTCGTGCCTTCACTAACCACATATGTCTCCACATATTTCACAATTCACTTCCTTATTTCCAAGGCTTGCTAAGGCTTTCTGGCTGTTTTTTCAGAAATCCCTAGCTACCCATACACTCCCTGTCCCTCTTACATAATCCCCTGGTTAACAAGCAATTTTTAGCTCACATCTATAGAGAACAAGTGAGAGATCCTTATTTTCTTTTGGTCTTTTCTTGGATGAAGTCAGGAAGTTGATTGGAAAAATCATAGAGAAAAGATTTCACCAGGGAGTTTGGTATAAAACATTAACTTTGCAACAGAAGAGCAATTGCTTTATATAAACATCCTATAGGCAACCTGCCTAATCTTAATGAGGTTTTGGGGCAGAATTTCAAGTCCTAAAGCCAGGACACTTTTATAAGGCTGCACCCACAAATTATTTTCAATTGTATTCAATTACAGGCAGAAATACTGTCCTGGGCTTTGATCTTTGATCTCCTTACATATAAGCAGTACATGGTAAGAAACTGTGAATATAAAAACATACATGCACTAATGAGATGTACTAAAAAGATACTGCAGGGCATGTCTGAAACAATGAAACATCCATGATTTTGCAGAGCCCTTATGCAGATGACTTTCAGACTAGGACATCAAAAGACAGAGGGATAAAAGTGAATATTGCTACGTTCAACACAAATGCCCATTTTAGCAGTTAACATTCCATCGGCCTGAAACATTAATAGTATCAACCAATGTACCCTAGACTATTTCACTGAGATGGCTCTTACATCACTTTACCTAGTCTTGACTTTCTTTTTATTCCAGACACCATCTCACCATTGCTGCTAAGGCATTCTGAATCACCTAGACAAGCTTTTTCTGTTTTTCGGCAGCCTAAATAATTTCAAATCCCAGCACGAATCCTCTTAATTTCTCCATAATCTAATTTATTATTTAATTTTGAAATAGGTACCTAATAGATTGGACTTTCTCGAAGTACATTTTAACTAAGATACAGTATACCTTTAAGGTAATATACTACTGTTACTTTATGAAATATTAACAGAGGATACAAATCTTTTATTTCAGAAAAACTTTTTACATATATTAGTATAATGAGTATTAACACCGAACCTGTTCCACTGGCTAAAATGAGGTGCATAAACAGTATACAACCTCAATATACAGCCTCACTGACACATCACACACAAACCTGTTACAGCCTTCAAAGGGTTAAACATGATACTACTTCCCTATAAATTCTTAAAAATAACAAACAAACAGTGGTTTGCTGTGAGGATACAATTGAGACTGAAATCCAAACTGCCTCATTTCTGTGTTTGTATCTCAGGTTTCAGTCATATAATCATGATTTAAACAATTAGTTTCAACAAGCAACCCAAACTAACAGTCTACTCTTATCATTCCAACTTCAGGCCTTTGGCAGTGTATAAAAGATGTAATTTCAAATAGCACTTGAATGTACGTAATAATTGAATTGTATATAATATTCAAACAGTATTTGAAATTACATTTAAAAACGCATTTAAAATGTAAAGCTAGAGAGAGCCATCTACAGTATATAAGGTGAAAGGAGGATCTGTGAAACTTTGATGGAGAAGTGCCATATCAATTTAAAAACATTTGGGAGTCTTCCAGTATGGAAAAGACAAAGCTCTTACCGTTTCCTTTGGAATTTGTGACTGGCTTTGTTCTGCATTCTAAAGGAAGTAAAAAAAATAAATAAGAACACGACTACATACGACATATACTATCTATCAGCAGGGGGATAAACAAAGAGCTCTAATTCTGACGTGAAGTGGTAATGGAAAAATGAAGGGTGTTCATCACACTCCCTGATGCAAATTTTTCTAAACAAGCACTAAATGAGAGGTGAACAAAAATAACCTCCAGCAATCTTAGGCCAGTGCACCTGACTTTATCTGGCTACGAGGGCGGTGGCTATCTGGCCAAGGAAGGATCACAGCTACTTGCACCATTTTCTGGCTGGTGGAACGTCCTCATTCAGGAATGTTCTCCCCAGGCTTTTCCCTTCTGCTTTGAAGGCTTCAAAGAATGACCTCAGCAGTCCAGATGAACCCTTCCAAATATTTTAAGCAAGTGCCTATTTTTTAAAACGTCCCTTCTCATTTTAAGAAGGAATTTCCCTTTTGAGTGTGTTTGGATGAACCAGAACTACAGCACTGGATATCCCAGGACAGGAGGGTGCTTTCAGTCACCACAGATGGGACGCTCCCATACTTTGCTTTCCTCACCTGTGTCTCAGGGCTCATAAGGCAAACATACATCATTGGAAAACCCTTCTGCATCCCCTAATCAATTCTGGAAACAGACGTAAAGAACTATTGCTCTTCCAAGCCCACGTCCACCCATATTAAAAGCCCTTTGAGCACCCAGGAGCCACCTTGCTGCTGGCTGGACGATCCCTTTCAGGCTAACCAGCTATTTCTTTCCATTCAGCTGGGCCAAAATGAAATGCTAGGGTTTCCTGGACTTTTTTTGCTTTGGGCTATTTTGCAGGAGGTTCAAATGATTAAGCACAAAAATGTGGTGGTCAAGTAGTAGCAAAAACATCCAGTTAGCTTTAACCCACAGCTAACAGCCAGTAAGAAAATAGATGAAGGAGCCAACTAGCAGAAACATGTAAAGGACCTACATGTATCAAAGGGCGTATTAACTTGGAGGGTACAGGAGACTAACTCTGCCAGCCAGTCTCTGCTGATACTGAGAATTTAGCTCAAAAGCTAAATAACCCAAGTCAATCCTTCAGTGGATTCACACAGTCAGTAGCAGGCTCTAAGAAAATCCTTCACAGCAAGTTATGTTCGGTTACGTGAGGTAACTGCAGTAAAACAGGAGCTCTACTTAACCAGTGTAATCCTCACTCCCTTCACAAAGGGAGGGAAGATTTTTAAGAGACAATCTGCCGCTGATGCGGACAAGCCCTAATGTATTACCTACCTGGCATTAGGTTAACTCTGGAAGCAATAAAATGCCTGGTATTCTGGAGAAGCATAATGATTCTTCCAGATCTCACTGGTTAAAATTGACTGCTGACAATGTGGTTTTATTCCCTGCATCCACGTTTTACTCACTTTTACCATGATTTGTATAGAAGCTGCTGCACTGGATGATAGTTCTCCATCACACACCCTCCCAACCTGACAACACAAACTACGAAGATCCCGTACTAACCTATATGGGCTCAACTTAACATTCCCATAAGTTTTAGACACAGCTACACATTTTTGTAGGTCCCTTCCAGACAATAATGGCAACATACATCAAAGACATTAAACTCCACAACTCTCCTGAAAGTTTATTATCTTCATTTGACTTATAAAGATACCAAAGGATAAGTAAGTTTTCAGAAGTCATTCAACAAGCTATAAACCAAAACATAAAATCTAAACACCTCTTTTATTGGGATTTCTATCTGTACAAAAGTTGGCAAATATAAAATGGTTTTTATACTGAGTGCTCCTCAGCAAGCAACAGCAAGTCCTGCACTTTATGAGATGGATAATATCAAATAACATGATTTTCTGCATATGGTTTCTGAGACACATCTTATTCAGTTAATATTTAAAGCATACAAATATAGAAAGTATGACAGAAATAGGGGAAGGATGCAAAGACAAATTCTTCCTAAGTGGCCAAAGAAGGTTTGCACGTGAAAAAGATGAACTGACATGATTTCAGATCATTCCCCTCCCTCCTTCAATATTATTTTTCTTTTATTTTTGTACATAAAGCTAGTAATAGACTATGAGAGGAGCTGGTCGAAGAGACTTTCTTTTTTCTTTTAAGATTATTTCTTACCAGAGAAGAAAGAACAGCCCTTGTGACGGGTTTTTTAGTTCAACACCTTCCCCAGCAATTCTGCTCCTGCTCTTTGACAGCTATCAGCAGAGCTCACCTAACATTTCTTCATGCCAAAATGCAAACAAACAAATCTTTATGCAACAGAGGATCATCACATACACGTACTGTCAGATCCTCACAATGTCATTTGTTCAGCTGGAGCTACAGAGACGTACACCAGTTTGGATCTGATCTCTGACTACATAGCGCAGAGCCCACCTACTACCTGACACACCCACGATGAGATCTGGCTTCCCTATGCTGATGTTTGCCAAAAGAGCTGAGACAGTCTCGCCTGAGCAGCAGCAGGGAGGCTACTGATGTTGAACTCATTTAAAGGGGCTGCTCTGCGGTTATCTTTAAAACATAATCAAGTATTACTGTGGTTAAATCTCTACCATACTCACACCATATCTCTCTTCACAATTATTTGAACAAAATACCATGTTAAATTATGCATTATAACTACCTCATTTGAATACAGAAATAATATACACAAAATTAAGACATTTTCTTACTTCTAAGTTTATTTAGAAAACTTAAAAAGCATTTTCATTCACCTTTATGTAAGATAGCAATACTGTGAAAATTACATCATAGGAACTTATAAACAGGTTGCTTTCACAGTTCCAGCAATCAGGTAGGGCATAATATAATTTCAAATCGTTGATTTCTCTTTATTTTATGACAACTTTCACTTCAGTACCTGAAGTCATGTTCCAAGAATATTAAGTTAAAAGTGTGGATCATTTGCAACCTTCCCTGCCACTTTGACTTCCTAAGTTTAACTGTAGTTTTGAAAAGTAAAAGGCTACTGTTAAATGTCTTGAAATGGCCAAACAAAAATTCATTCTCCTTGCATTCAAAATAACATAAATCCAATAGAAAAATTAACCAATCTATTCATCATACTAAATGTCACTTATATTCGTCTTCTCTTTTCATGATAATGCAGCCAAATAAGTTATTTTTAGAGCTATATATATAGCTATGATAATACAAATAATAAATAATTTCAGCAGTTCAATGGAATACAGAACAAAGTAAGACTGCTACATTCACAGTCTACCTTTTCATAACAGAAATTATCTTGTATAATTATCAGAGAAATATCTGTATACACTGTGCAAGTGGAGTAGGTACAGCATGAAACATCATTTTATTTCCATTTCATGTAAATTCCTCAGAAACATTTTCTGAATTACCCTGCTAAATTAATAACTGCAAGGTTTCCATTCCACAGAGATTGCACTGATATTCAAAAAAGACTACTATTTCTTATATATTCCACTTTTTGATAGAAAGGTATTTACATATCCTGTTTTGGCATAATATTATATGATCTAAAATATTTTAGTGAGCAAGTAGTGGGACAAATGGCAGGCTTTCAAACATAGACTTGTCCATATGAAAGATATGAAGTAATCTACTTGTCTGCATGCATCCAAATAAAGTCCATCCAATAGTTTCTTCTATAATAAACATTTCCACTCAAAATAAAACTCTCACTTATACATTATTAACAAATATGTAATTCCAGTAGCAGATCTTGACGATAATAAACATTCATGTAAAATGTTCTAAATAAAGCAAAATAGCTGTTGGTTTGGTTTTTTTTTTCCTCTTATATTCAGTGCTGGCCATGCATGTTTACTAGCAGGTGACAAGACCAAATCATTTGCTCATACTCATCTAAATCTCTTAGCTGCTCTCTATTTTACGCACCAGTTCCCTTGGATGGAATGTTTCTTCCTGTCGACAAATCAGAAGGCCGACAGTCCCTCCCATCTTGGTGCTTCGCAGCAAGGACACAACTTCTTCTTGAGTTTTTCCTGTTAAATCAACTCCATTTACCTGTGACAAAGAAAATATTATAAATTGATAGGACTCCAAAACAGGAAAAAGAGTAGAAATTCATACTGAAAAGTCACGTGAATCATATGGGACTATTAAAAAACCCTCACTGAAGCTATCTGCTTATTGGCTCAATACAGCTTCCATTTAATAGAACTAATTAAACATGCATCCTTTACATAGAAATACAAATAAGAAGCAAGACAGCAATATTTCCTTTCTCTTTACCAGGAACAGTATACTCCAGTATACTCTAAAGCCAACTAATTCCATCTACCAGTATTTTTTACAAGAACTTCTGCATAAAAACCCTTCGGCAAAATCAATGTGTGATCCAAAACTGGTCCTGTTTCCACACGCCTTGGTGTTGTACCTACCTTCCAAATATATCTTGCACAATACATTGTGTCAAAAGTAGAAAATAATTTTTCCCCCACAAATAACTTTGGAGCAGTTCCTCTTTATTTTGCCTTTGTTCAGCGGTCCAATCCCTTGGCCTCCACATACCACTTACCAGTACAGACAGGTATGGAACACATACAGGTAAATGTCCCATTCTATGAGTTAACTTGAGTAAGGGAGCAGCCAGAGAAAGACAGGGTATTCTCAGGCTTGCCTGTTCAGAAACATTTTGGAAACGTAAGGCAGATCAGCTAACGGTGTTAAGCAAGACAGCGTGGTGCTCAGAAGAAGTCAGCAAACCATCTTTCTCCTTTCCCTCATAAGAGATCACGGCTCACGCAGTTGCGATGCCGTAACTGTTGTCTTAAATGCTTCTCAGTCCCCTTCTACCCAAGTCATCTGGGTTACCCTGAATTACAGTAATTACAGAGTTCCTCCAGCAACAATTCAAGCTGACTTGGCCAATTGTGCAGTAAAGTGAAGTTAGGGCACTGAGAGGCAGTTACAGTCCCAGCTGTACCTCTAGTGTCATTTGGCTTAGGGACAGTAATGAAGAGCTGTGGGTGGTAACATCTTCTATCGCTCCAGCTGGAGTTGCAGGAAGATCTCTGCTGTGCCCTTATCTAAGAGAAATTTAATTCCCTTGAGGACATGCTCCCTTCAGGATGGAACTGGCCTTGATTCTCTGGAGCACTACCCTCCTCTCATATTGTGCCTTTAAGTTCATTCACTAAACCTTTTCAGGGTTTTGTCTTCCATACTTGGCAACATCTCCAATAATTTCTGGTCTGTCACTCCATGCTGATTTAATGCCTCTTATTATGTAACAACTACTTTGCTTCAACTTATTCCTAAGCAGCAATGCAAGACTATGGCACTATATATATGCACATACGGACATGTAAGCTCATGTTTTCATAGTATGTCTGGGTCCAGCTCTTAAAACAGTTATGTACTGAAAACGCACAGCCCTTGATCTGTTACCTAAAAAACCAAAGCCTATCCCTTCCCCGCACCAAAAAAAAAAGAAAAAAAAAGAAGATGGAAATATTCTCGTAACATAAACTACTAAGAGCTTTTCGGAACTGAACTAGTGCATAGGCTCATCCCAAAATACAGGCAAACAACATGTAACACTTCATCACCTCAATTAATCGGTCTCCAGCTTTTAGTCTCCCATCTTGAATAGCTGCACCTCTCGGAAGGATGTTTTTCACATAAATTGGAGCAGAGCCACCAATTGGGACATCTCTTGAAGTAATGCTAAATCCCAAGCCTTCTGTACCTGCATAAAGAATGTAGAATATTACTTGTTAAAATGCACATTTTATATTATATATTATTTTTACCCAGCAGAACGTATGTATACTTCACTGATACAATCCATGAAAAAATATATATAAGATTTAAGAACTACTGCATGGCAAAAAAAAGAAAAAAAAGGCATATATAGGAATGCTATAGCTGAAGCACTGAGTCTTGGCACAGGTGGCTCAGCAGGCCTTCCTTGCAACTTGCTGTTCTGATGATTTCCAAGTCATTGCCATATTTCCAACTTTCTATTTCAGATGAGCTGAGTGACAAGGAATCAGAACAAAGCATATCTGATATCCTATCACTGCCTTCCCCCTTGTCAATCTGGATCTCGTCAATGATCCTTTCTTTCTCTTTCGTGACTCTTTCAGCAATGTCACTCAGTCGACACTGCTGGCCACGGGGCTTTGTCAGCTCACTTATGGACACCGGCAGGTGACAGACAGAACCAGAGCTCAGCGGTTTCATTTCTTCTGCTCCAAGGGACCTCGGGCTGTTTTCTGTCAACAGCTCCTCCACCCCGTGGCTTCACCCTGGCTCTCGCTGGGTTCCACCCCACCTTCTGCTGCGCAGGCAGGGAGCAAAGCCAGGCTGCCACTTCTGAGGTCCTGCAGTGCATCCAGGTGACTGACTACACTTGGCTAAGACCGACTGAAGCAAAACAGAGACATTTAAGATGACCTGGAGAAATCCAGAGAGGGCGGCCAGTCAGTATGGCAAATGAGGCTTGCTTGTATTTCAGAGAAATTATGCCCACAATTAGTTATTGAAGTGTACCTTAGGACCCCAACCAGCTCCGGGATTCACAGCCTGAGAGGACAAACAGAAGCCTTTCCTACTATGCAGAAAGCTCATTTGTGATCCTCTCTTTGATGCAATCTGTCCACTGTTATCAACAACCTTTCAAACTCTGTGTTGAAACGCATCTTCCCCCCAAGATTGCACATCAAGTCTATTCAGGACATTTAACCTAGCATGGAACGCAGACAGCCATTATTCAGCGGAGAGCATCCCTGACAGAGTGTCAGCATCTACAACAACTTCCATTTGAAACACCTCAGAGGCTGTCAAGATATGTCTACAGTTCGAGTTCACTAGCTAGGCGTACGCATGCCCAACCTACATTCAATCTGACCTACTAAGACAACCTGCAGTTAGGACTCGGCAATATCAGGTATGGTCCCTAAAAGTTGCACAGCACACTCCTTTGCATAAAATCACAGGGACAGAGAGAAGCCGAACTTTTATGCAACAGTCCTCCGCTTTGAGCCCTGGGAAGTTGAACACAACCTGTGTGAAAGACACACAACTACATAACCATTTGAGGTTAAAGCCTGAATTAATTTCTGTCTTACTGCTCCCCATGTTCATTTGCTACATCTGCTTTTTTACCGAGCAGGTTAATATTCACAAATGTGAAAAGGAAGCAGGAGTCCAATATAGTCAACATCAGTCTACACGCACACTTCTGAAATCTGCACAATTACATTTGATTAAAATGTAGTACAATGTATTTTATTATCAAGATGGTAATCGTGTTAAGAAGTAAGTTGACACAGGTGACGGCTGGGAGGGACATAACCTTTTAAAGTCTTCATCTTGAAAGTATGTAAGTCCTCGTGTATCCGCAGCAAGTGTATGCAGCTCGTATTGTTCAGGAAGTTTGGATCAATTCCTCTAGGCTAACTGTCATGAGACAACCTCCCTTCCTTATGTCTGCAGCATTCAAGATAGCTGAAAAACTGACATTTGCATTTGAAAGTCTTCATCCATTTTCAGGCTGATACAAAATTTATCAGTGCTATTACACAGAGATGACAAAAATATTAGATCTCGTAACATCCGTATTTTACTTTGGAGACCTCACAATTTTAATGATGCTTCAATCGTTCATAGATCTCTTTAACTCCTTGCAACATGTGAAGATGATCTGTATCGGTGTAATGTTTTAAGACACAGCTCAGCTTTTTATGGAATTTATCTTTTTCTTATTTTAAGGATCTGTGTCGAATGCTGCTCTTTGAGGACAGGTTTTGTCTGCTAAAATTTCTGAAGTAATATGAGAACATGACTGCATGCCCAGGACAGCATTTCATTATTAATAAGCTTAATCCCCATAGCCCGATTACGGCATCATTACAGATGTCTGGTTCACACACTCCACTTTAAACCCCCGTGGAAAAAACAGAAGTTGAAGTGTTCACATTACAAATGCACACAGAATATAAATTTGGACTGTGGCATTTTCTGCTGTCAGCTCTCCAAAAAGCCTTTACCAAAGCCGGCAGAATGCCACAAATCCACACTGAGCCCAGATATTAGCAGAAAAAAAATTCTAATTACTTGTTTCTGTGGAACGAGGGGGCCTCACGTGGGCTATACTTTGCTATGCTGCTCTTGTATAGCCTTTGCATGAGGCCGCTTTTGGGTGTCATTCTCCTCTTACTTTTCCACTGCTTCATTCTACTATTCGTGCACTAGAGCTGCCCTTAGCTGTATAATACAGCTTCATAAACTCCTGTGCTTATTGTATCTAAATTAGAAGATCACAAGATTGGGAAATAAATTGATATATTCGACCAAGGCCAAAAATAAATATGACTTCTGTGACTGGACTGATTCTAAGCTTTTTTCTTTTTCTTTTTATACACATAACTAATGTAGTTATCTTTACTCCATGCATTTCACTTGTCCTGTTGATAGAAATGATATAACATCTTAATATCTCCCTGCTGCTAAAATGTTTTCAATTCTTAGGGCATAAAGCTGCATTATAATAATGAGGGAACTGTGCAAACATCCTTTAGGTTCCTCTGACATCTGTGGTTTATACTAATAGTACAGGAGAAACTGGACACACATACAGGCAGAACCAGAACAAGAGTAGAAAATATAAGGAATTTCCATCTTTTTGAAAACGCAGAAGTCATCCTACTCAAAGCTAGGAGCTTTACTTTGCAAGGTCTACATTATTTGAGCTATGTACAACTTAATCTCTTACAGATGTTAAAAAGAAACAGGGTAGGAAACATCTTCCTCCCTCTATAGCTGTCATCTCTGACAACGATCAAATTACACTGAGTGATAATAACATTTAAAAATTACCCACTAATTTGTGTAATTTAAATTCTTAGGCTTCTTTGATAAATCAGCAGCTTTCTCGACAAGTTAGAGCTCCGCTTTTCTCTTGAATGTGATGCTGAACACGCCTTCTAAGGTCGCGTTACCCTCGAGAGCTCAGCCAGCTCCGACTTGAAGACAAAGTAGCTCTAGGTGAATAAAAAGGGCAGTCACAATAATAGAAGAACTACATTGCACAAACAGAAGAGGGGCAGATTTGATGCTTCATTCAGTTGCTGTTTTGGAGGAAATCGCTTCTAGCAACATTAAGACGGGGAGGCAAAAAACTTCCATGGAAGTTAATTAAATATATACTCAAAATGAACATCATCATCTTACTCGGAATCAGCCTGATCATAAACTGACGGGATGCTAAAAAAATGATTAAATCTTACTAGGGGTGGCTAGGTTTTCTGTTGTCTCCCAGTGAAGAAGTATTTAATTTCCTATGAATGCTAGGATTATCTTCTTGATTGTGGAAAGAGTATGCCTGGCATAAAGTTTCTGTCTTTCTAGGGTTCTTCTGCATGAAAAATTGTGCACTCCTCATCCAGCATCAACTGCAGGTCTAAATTCTGAGCAGCAAATGTGCTGATGGGTAGAAATACTGCCAGAACACGAGACAAAAAGCAAGCATCGTTTCTGCACTGCTTCTAGTACTTTCACGTCACTCTCAAAAGGACATTAGTTTAGAGACCCAGTAAGGAACGTCTGAAGGACCTACACTGTCAACTTCTTATGGTTCGCCTCTTACAGTTATCTTCCCTTTCAGGACTGCAAGCAGAGCTAGAAGTAAATCATGCTCTTCCTTCTCCTCTAATTTAAGAAAATGCAGATGAGTTCTCAGGTGCTTCAGTACAGATCTCCTTAAATTAAAAAAAAAAAAAAAATCTCACTTCTAAAACAATGGAAAATGTTTGATAATCAGACAATTGGGCACCACATTTGTTAGTACTTATGCAAGAGAAGCAGAGAACATTTCAGAACAACCTAAATATGGAAAATCCATGTGGGTGAACAGTCCTCAGATGGAATAAAGGATTGCTAAGGAAAAGTGCAGATTCTTCATGAAAGACAAAGAACACACTCTCCCTTTCCTAAAACAATAAGGGAGGTTGGTTACACATATAAACAGTTTGTGACACAAAGTCACAAAAATTACAAAATAAAGCATCCCCAGTTAATGAAAGTATTAGATTATAAAATGATCCAGAATAAGGAGCAAGATAACATTACAGTAAAACTAAACAGAAGGGCCAAACGCTGTCTGACAATAATGAGAGCAGACACTCTCCTTCCAAGCATTTCAAGTTCCTGCTTTTTCACAGTAGACTCTTTCTTCAGATCCATGTACGGATGGATGATTGCTGAAATAATTATCCTACTGTTTTATGCTAGAAAGCAGTTTTTATTAAGGACTGGACCTCATGCAAGAGCTGAACAGCAAATACGTTCTCCTCATTGTTAGGGGCTTCACTAAATTAACCAAGAGCATTTTAGATACTTCCTGAATAGTTATTTTACTGCTCCTAGTTTAAGCCCTGTATTTTCAGAATTTGTGTATGTGTAGTCAGGGTAACTGTACGTGCAAATGACTGCTTAGAAGGCTGACTGCTCAGCTGTCTATAAAATTTCTGCAGCCGCATGCACAATCAAGACAAATTAATTGCATGCCCATTTTTTGTATAGTTGAGTGATTTGGAACAACTTTTTTTCTCCAAGCAAAGCTCAGATCTCTCAAAAAAATCTTTGATCAACCTGATAGAAACATTCTTCCCTTTTTGCTACAGCCTGCTAATAAATAGCAATCAGAAGTGGTTTTAAAAAAATGGAAAGATGAAACTTGATGTAGTTTGTGTTTCTTCAGTGGCTAATAATGCCCAAAATTATTTGCTACATTTTTTAATCTCATTTCTCAAGGTCACTTAAGTAATTTAGGAATCTACATGCTTCATTTCAAAAGTGACGAACACCCATGCTGCATCTGAACAGGAATTCTAAAATCAGTCTAAGAGAACATGTCACTTCAAAAGAAATTTTAAATAAAAATTTAAAATGTCAGTTCAAAGTCTGGCTCACGGAACTGTGTGGGAAAACAGAAGAGTATGATGAAAAATGTATGTAAATCTGTACACTTCGGATACATGATGCAGGCAGGATACCTTACAGACAAGTTCAGGGTCCCATCTTGTACACTCTGCTATATAAACCCAAGTAAAACAAGTCATCACCTATATACGTGCTTTACTCCGTAGCAAAAAGGATGCCACTTTAAATTAGCGTACTCCCAAACTATCCATGGCAGCTTATTTGTGTCTCTAATGACTTCTTGCAGAAAAGCACTTGGGTGCGGCAGGGCTGAGTGTCATCGCTCCATAACACCGAGTGCCCCGTCACCTGGTGGGACTTGCAGTGTTCAGCTCGGCTGAATGTAAGACAGAGCATTATTAACCACAGAAGGGCCAGCAAGCCAAATGGGAATCCAGCAAGAAACACCAAAGAGCAAGGAGTCTTGTAATGCTCCCCATATCTACAATGTAACCATTTTTCTCCGTTCCTCTCAGGACGCACCATCTCCTAGGACATGACTGCTATGCCCTTTCTGTGATGGACGTGGCGATTCCTACAGCTTACCTGCTGTAAGGTATCCTGCAGTTGTGTCACTCAGTTCCTTCTCTTGAAGTTATACTATTTCGCAAGAGAGAAATATACTTTGGGCCAAAAAGGAAGAGACAGTCACAACTCCCATGGCCGGTAGCTAAGTCGCTCTCTGGAAGCAGGGAGATGTGGACTTAAGTCCTGATGCACTGAATACTTCAGACAAAATATAGCAAAATATTTGGTGGAACCTGGACCAACTTAAAAAACCAAGAGCTCAGTTTTGACTTTTTACGTCAAGAATTATACATTTAATTTAGCTAGACAAATGCGTAGTTATAGACAGAAATGATCTGATGCAATGAGTATTATACTTCAGGGCAATCAAATAAAATGAAGCTAATTTAAAGACTGAGTACTTCAGGCTTGTCTTAGTACACTGATGTCAAAACCAGTATATGTGAATATATGAATACAATGTCCAATTGAAAAGCAGTCTTTTGAACGGTTTAGCAAGTACCAGGCTAAACACAGTGAGTTACTCAGTGCTCAAAGCCTAAGCCTTAGAATAATTTGTTGTACAATTGGTTATTTATTATTTATAAGTGCTGGACTAAATTTCTGCCAATTGCATTGGCTTGAACCCTTGCAGTCAAAGAAAAAACACCCTAGAAGTGTCCTGGTGTATATGAGGTCAAAATTTGTCCAAACACTCTGGGTGTTATACCAGTGGTCTTATTTTCTCTATATATTAGCTGTAAAGAACTGTTTTTATTTATTTATACTTACTGTGTATCAGCTTACACCAAAATATATATAAACACAGGCTCACTGTCATGTCTCGTACTATCTTAATTTGTGTGAGCTATTAAGCTAGACTGTTATACAGCCTTAATGGCATTAGAATATCAGCAATAACCCCTACATCTATATGCTAAAAGTTCAGGCCCTGACCTTTAAGGAAAGATAAACAGATATCCATTTTCATTTAGAAAAGCCAACAAACATTCTGCATTGACTGAAACATATGACTGACCTTCTCTTCTGACTTTATTAAACAGCTAAATCCTATGAAAGTTCAGGTTATTTTAAAATGCCAAAACAGCCATAAATATTAAGAAATCATAATTACAGAAGCACGTACTGTAGGGTTATCTTACCATGTCATTTTATATAATAAAGCTCATGCAATATACAGAAACACAGCTGTAATAAAGAAGGTCTGTCTGTATTGAAAAAGAGTCAATTCTCATATACTACATCATTAACCAGAATGCACAGGTTAAATCGAAAGTGAATTTCAAGATGAAGCCTTACATGCTTGTGTGCCTTAATGCACCCCAAAAGGAGTTTTTAATCGAATGGTGGTAATTGGTGAAATAACAGCTGCCTGTTAGCTACGAAGAAAGCACATTTGTTAAATATCTATAAAGCCCGTATTATTACAACATCCTTCATTAGAAATAATCAAAGACAATCAACATCCCTATTGCACTCATACTTATAACAAACTACTTAGGGGAATCCTTAAGTGTTTTGCTTAATTTCTTGCTCCACATGTATGTTCTCAGAGTGATCAAATGAAAGCCAAAATGGGAAGACACGCCTCTTTCCACAGTGGGTATTAACAAGTGAAAGACAGCCATGATAAAAAGGTATCCTTCCTTATGCATTTTTTTAAATATCTTCATGCATGTACAAATACAGTACACTAAATAGTTTCTGTCTGTCTGTCTATAATCTGAGCTAGGTGCCATTTCTGCATAAGCAGTATGCTCACGGAAGCAAACTGTTAGAAACAAATATCCCCTCTAAACTTCTGAAATATATTCTAGATATGGACTTCAACACTTATACTAGCGTAACAGCCACCAAACTTCTTTAGCGTGAACTACATGTTAAAGTATCTTACAGATCACTTTCCATCAACAGGTAGCATGCATCTGCTTCCAAACCCATCTAATATATTGGTCCCAGCAAGGCTAAATTACGTTATAGAAGTGGGGAGAGTATTTATGAAACAGTATCCAGTGCAAGAGGACCAAAATGTAACCTCACATCACAGTCAAAGAATCCGTAACACATCAAAATTACATTCTTACGAGCAGCTATAATGCCACATTTGTTTCATGCAAAAACATTGTGTTCCTATATTCTGTATTCATTTGTTGGTGCTTTTAAATTATACAAAATGTATGTTTCCAATCTTGGCTAAGAATTATTTCATGTGATGTCCAAGTGATATTTCTACAGGCTTCTGGAGACACCAAAAAAATAGGTAAAAATCACTGTAGTGACTGAGAGCATATTTGTAAGCACAGCGATTCCTTACTCAGCCAGTAACAATAAGTTTTTCCAAACAGGCTGATCTAAGCTGATGCCCTAAAGAATTTATTGAAGGAGCAGCAACAACAGAAGCAAACTGTCAACTCAACCTTATGTCATCCAAGTTTGCAGAGCTTAAAATTCAGCAACCAGAAAGCAGCAATCTGGTGGTTCACGTGACGTTCATAGAAAGGAAAGCACGACGATAATGTGACAAATAGCCTGGTACCTGTGAAACTGTAAAATCTCTCTCTACCATTCAATGCATTGTCTTCGATACCTTTCGATAAAAGGATTAATTAATAAAAATTATTAATGCTAAGCACATACAATATCCTAAGGGGAACCTACTTCGAGTTCACAGAGAATACTGTCACATGGGCAAACTTTTTGCTGTGTAATGTAAACCCTATTCATGCTCCTAGCGATCAAATTATATCTAACCTTAAACATGCTCATTTTAATACCATAAAGTTTACAGCAGGTATAATCCTTTTAAAAAATCATTTCCCAAGAGCTAAGAAATACTTGCATCTAAATGTCATTTTATTATACTTCAAGCTATCTTAAGAGCATCTAGATGGTAACTACAGAAAAACACCAAATTTTCTCACTAAGGACATTTAACACATCATAAAAATTCCACAGATGTACCAATGCATCTACATGCGCACATATAACACAGATGTTGAGATAAGCACGCACCACCTTCTCCTCCACCTTTAAAGAGTCTCTCACCCCCATTCAAACTACATTAGCGTAAGGCCTAAGATAGGAAATATCACATTACATCTCAACCCTTTAAACAAAGACTTTCACGTCCCAGTGGAATAAAAAAACCCTTTAGCTGGAAATGAGAAAGTCCAATTTACCAACTGGGTCCAACACACAAAACCGACAGCAAAACCACAGTTACTCAAACTGAAAAGTCATGATATCTGTAAAGTACATTGTGCCATTTTTGCTTATTTATTAGTTAAATAGTTCACCACCCCCCAGATCTTGGGCAACAGAATTTATAGCACTTACTGCACTTCTCTAGTAGTTGAGAGACAGAAAACAATGTTAAAGCACTCTTCAAAATGGCCTTTTGCAAACACACAGCACAACACAAATGCACAGGCGGACTCCTGGGCATGCTGTCAGGGACAGCTCAGCCACTTGGCTTCAAAAATCAATCCATCACTTCCCCTGTGCTTCTGCAAGCCCTCCTGCCCAGTACCACGGCACTGGACACATGTACATACACTACACGCCCCCCCCCCATGCTATACGAGGAGCGCACTACTGCCTTACCTTTTCTCAGCTGTATACTGAGCTTCTTGCCTATCTTTTTGGTGTTATACCCACTGTTTGCAGTGGAGGTGAGAACTTTCTGAGGTGATGGTACCAGGCCTGAGGGTGGTTTCCCTGATGAATTCACACTATGAGGTAGCTGCGAGTAGGAGTCTGTCGGATCGGACTGGTTACCCGCTCGAGACATTCTTTGTAACGTGTGAAGTCCAGAATTGTTAATACTTTTGCCGTCAGCATACTGGGAATCAGGGCTGAACCGGCTGGAGTAGTACATGTTCTTCTCGCTTTGGGACAACTGTTCATACTGCTCTTTATTTGCCGCGGGGACCACGTGGAACCAAATGAACGGCGTACGCATGGCTTGGCGAAACATATGCTGTGCTCTAGGTTTCAAAATGAACAGAAAATTAGCAAATTAGGACTGGCAGACTACAAGACATTATAAGCATAATTACTGATGTTAATTAAGCAATACGAGCTGACAGACACATTGCACTCAAGCAGAAACCATAAAACTTGAATCTGTTCACTAGCCTACTTGGTCTGTTTATTGCCTTAGGGTAACACAATAGTTAAATATGCTTAACAGCTAACGTACCAAATACTGGACTCAGAAAAGCAAAATTCTTAACCACTGTCTTGAAAAGCAGACAGTTCTATGGAAGGACTGCAGTGTGCTTTCGTATTGAACCTTGATAATTGCTTCTTCAGATACAGTAATCATAGTGACAACAGAATTATTAGAATGAAAATTACACTTTATACAAAGACTATATATTTCCATAATTTGCTGAGAGTATATGCAGTCTTGCAAAAAGTCCAGTTTACACTTTATTTTTTGTAAGTTAGTAGTCTTTCAGAATACATTAAGAAATAGGAAAAAAAATGCTTAATCCCACACAGACAGACATTAGGCTCTACGTCACGATCCAAAGCACATAAAGTCAACAAGTGTCTTCACAGACAAACAAGTCTCTTCACATAAATTGTGACTCGGAACCACAGAACAAGCAGAGACAAGCTGTTTTCAGCCATGTGGTACAGGGTCATGTTCCAATCCAGGTTAGAGTCAAAGAAATAAAAAACCACATTTCAAATGTATACTAAGTATAGGGCGATCAGAATAATGATATTCCTTTAGCTCTCAACATGTTAGGGTTTTCAGAACAGTATTATCATCATTGAAATTACTCATTTTCTGCACACCTCTTTTCTGCTTTCTCTTTCAATTATCTGTGTGTGAACTACAACCTGATTTCACTTTTAGAAGACTTTCTGATTCACCATTTCGGGATTCTACCAAGTCCAGGCTTCCACTGAGCAAATATTTATGAGCTCTCAAACTTCTCCAGGAAGTTTCTGCATATAGGACCTTCAGTTCTCACACATACAAAACCACAAACATTTTAAAAATGTTAAAAATAAAGTCTCCATGCTGTTCACATATATTGAACATGATGCATTGAAGTATAAGAGCAAAAAGTCACATAGGAATTTCATGATAAACAGTTTGCCAATGCAAGAAAAAAAAAAATCCATCATGTGCAAAAACAATCAAATGAGAAGTGCATCTACTCTAATGACAATAATTATCCTGAATTTTTTGTAGTTTGGCTAATTAAAAACCACTAATGTCCCTTAGTGTACCTATTTTTATTAGAAAGGCAAGCTTAGACAATTTTTTTTAAAATACTTTATTTCCGCAAATTACTGCAAGGTCCAGTGTTAGAAATTAAATAATGCAATATAATGTGTGGTAAGTATACTTACTGTTCAAATCTCCTATTCCGAAGGTCTCCGTCGTTAATCCTGACAATACAATCATTCTCACGAAAAAGGTTTTCTTGTTCAGCTTTTCCACCTTTCTCCAATCGCTTTACCAGCAGCCCCAGGGTTCTGGAACATTAAGATACAAATGATTATTGTTCTAACAATTTGCAGCATAGAAAATCCTACTGATTCATCATTTTACCATAATCACTATAGAAACTAAACTTGAAACTATCTTTCCCTTGAAGTAGGATATCATTGTTTCAAATTATTTATAAGCATTACCTGAATTATTATCCCTTATCAATGAAACAAAGACACTGGGTGAATCAAGCACGTCATTTAAAAGTAAGAACGAACAGGCAGTGTGATGATAGCATGTCCATTCTTGCAAAAGGCCTAGATTTCTGAGCCGTAAAAGCTCCAAGAAGCACCACACAGCAGACAGGCGGCATCTTTTGTGCTAGTTAACTGAAGTCGAACAATTTTAAAATTTGAATTTCTGAATTAGCACAGAATACCACAGCCATCACTACTGCTTCTGTGCAAGTGAAATGTGGGGTCATCTCATGTAATAAGCAGCCTGTAAGGAAGGGATGGATAGAGGATTCAGGAACTTCATGCAAACCAAATGCTTTTATATTTAAGCCTTAACTTTTTTTACTAAACAGCAAAGAGGAAATTAAAAACTTAAATGCCATTTTTAATCCAGCATATTATCTTAAATTAACTGGTTCAGTAATGACTGAAGACAATTGCCATTTGATAACCTCTGTGCAATGAGTTGGTCACCTCTGTCTAGCGCTTACCCACAGTGTCATCTTAAGGACATTCTTAGAGAGAAAAGGTAAACAAATATTCAACCTGAGATTATGAAATGGATCCAGAAGAGTGGATTTCTGAGGTACTGGTAGGATAATGTGAAAAGTCAATGATGTTTCTATACCTGGACTCTAGGTTTGAAGAAGGATTCAATCTTCAGGATTATTCTTGCATCGACACTGCATTTGATGTTTTTAAAGAAGATCAGATTTACTTTGAAATCCCACAGGATGTATCAGTGGGTCAAATTCACATCATCCAAGTCAACACTACTACTTTTTCAGAAGTCCTTTCAAGGCACGGCGTGGAATATACTTGGTTGCGTGGCAGGAATTGCAAGACCACACATGTCTTTTAGCACAAAACTTTCAGTGCTCATAGCACTTCAGTTCACACATACCTCAAAGTAAATGACCAGTCAATGATGTTTAAAAGGACTCCTCACGTGCTCGAAAGTTATATATGCACTTGAGCACTCTATCAAATGGATAAGGCAAGCAAAATTAACTTATTTCTTCCACTTTCAATTCTTCATTTACCAATTTATCATAAACATATTCAAATAAGACATTTATTTTACAGAACAGTCATACGTTTTCTCCTACAAGGCAGATGAAGAAGTTAGAGAAACAATCCTAGTAGTATTTCCATTTTGGAACCACCTAGAGACATTAAGATATGATGTTGAAAGGATCTATACATGTAAACAGACTGTGAGGAGAAAAACAACATAAAGCATTTTGACAACACAAATCATCAAGTGAAGTCTGAGCCAGACATTAACATTTAAGTGATACTATTCTGTTTCCAACTGATACGGAGTATTTTGCAAATACCTAATGTACTGCACCTTTGTCTTGTCCAGGGTTCCCATCAGAGGCAAACCTTCTCCACCCTTATTTGGCTCCTGATGGACCACCTGAGTGCAGTCACTGATGCTAACTGTCATTGGGCTTGACCTTGGCTCAGCTGCTGCAATTAACTATCTGTCTCTCTGCAATAATGCTGGTGAGCACAAGAACCCAAAAGATTCCATAAAGCTAAAGTATAATTTCTCTAGAATACATGCATTTCAGGAAAAAAAAAAAATGTTTTAAAAACACAATCAAAACTAGTGTGTATCTAGTCCTATCCCTCCACACCCCAAGTTGATATTCTTTGGGTTTGGAAAGTTCCACCTTTTGCAGATTCCTCCCAACAACCCAGCATCTCCCATTCAAAAGGAAAATAAAAATGAGCAAAACCAATTTTCCCAAATTTCCGACAGCAAAAACAATTTTGGGTTTTTTTCTGATCACCAAGTGAAACACCTTGTATGATCTAGATATTGTAGATGGTTTTCTGTTTGCCTTTCCCACAATCCTCTAATAGTTTGCATGACAAAAAATTCTGAAAGTCCACAACAGTCACACACTAACTTAATGACCTCACTGTGCTCCATTTATTGTACTAAGATTTGCTTATAATTATGAATGTATGTTGCCACAGGAAGTAAAACAAACCAAATTTTTAAAATATTGATTCAATCCCTTTTCCATCTGTTCACTAAAATAAGCTTTGAACACAGTCTCAGACTTTTTCAACTGATAAATAATTACAAAAAAAAGTTTATAAACTGTTACTTTCAGAAAGCACTAAAATAACAGTTGAGAATGTTAATGATAAAAAGGAAGATACTTGTATGCCTTCACTATATTATTTTTATCAGAATTATAGTTTTGATACATATAAAACTGACGGTTAGAAAATGAGTTTGTGAGCTTTTCACTTGTGAGTTGTTGAATTTCTCTGGGGAGATGGTGTCTTTGAGCCCCCAGGTGAAGTTACTGAAGAGGGTATCTCTAAATGGGGAAGAGGAAAGCAAGCAAATATAAAAATTGGGAATGCTACATTTAAGAGAAAACCACCCAAAATATTTGGGGGGGAGAGGTAAGAATTGTGTCTACTTTTCCTTTTCTTTCACTTCATGCCCAACAGCACTTCGATGCGGGTGTGCTCCTCTGTAATGCCCAAAGACAAGTCAGAATTTGATGTGCATGCAATGCTTGCACGAGAACCTACACAGTAACCCCAACAGGTGTTTTGTTTATATGGATAAATATAAAAAATATCAAAATATCAATATGCTAAATATCAAAATATATTCTACACAAAGTACAACACTCCAAGGTGATATATGATAAAACAGTATACAAAATAACATTATTTCATCCCAGTGTCTCCACGTACTTATGACTACAAAGTAATTGGTTTATCAATGGTTTTTGCATAGCATTTTTCTTGAAATACTGCTTTCTACTGTTTTGCATTCTGAAGTTATATTAAATTATTAATGCAAGATGCATCTTTATTCATGGTTTGTCATTTCTTAAATTTACTTCACCTAAGCTCTCAAATCTAGTAAAAATATTACTAATCCTAACCAATGGTAAAATAACGTAACATATAAATAAACTACCAGTCAAAATTGCAAATAATCTCATTAAACAAAGGCTACAAGTTCTACTAATGCAAGATTGCTCATCTCAGACACAACATATGGTGCTCATGAGGATTTTGCTTTTTAACAAATGTTAGAGCTAGGTTAACCAAGGCATATAAAGCTAAAGTCACTGAGAACAGATTCAAGGCTGGATGAACAGCCTGAGTCAAATTTGAAACGAGGATCTTCACAGTGCCTTTTAACTTAATTAATTTTTTTTGTATAAACACATGTGGCAAAAGATTCCTTTAGACACAGTTGCAGAAACAATTTCCTGAACGCAGTTCTGCATAGCAGAGTAAATGCTCCTAGAATTTGCAGAAAAAATATGTTCCTGAAAATTTTAGTAACAAAAGCCTATCAATTTCCTACAGTATTTTTTCAATATTATGGCTAGATGTAAGAATATGACTCTAAAAAAAGGCATTATGGGAATTCATGTTTGTTGTTGCAGTAACTGGAGATAAACACAGTAGACCTGATATTGCAAATATGCAATAACCTAAAAACTAATTGGATTTTTTTTTTTTTCCCCTGCTGTATACCACCACCATTAATCCTGATAAGTGGAGATGTAGCTCTACTACAGTTTCAATATCATGCTTCCTACATTCGGAAACCATAAATTTTGAAAGCCTGTAAACTAATCTAGTATAAAATACGGAAGTCAGTATATATGTTTAAACACAGCCATGTAGCGTACAAATATACGGGTGCATTTGAATTTGCTTAATCTTGTTCAGTTAAAGTAAGCCAACACATTTTCTAACATAAATTCTTCCATTATAAACATTTTAAACTAAAACTTCTTCAAGAATGAGATGAAATATTGTGTGCACCTCTGCAGAAGAACACTCTGCAAGTCTACAACCCTGCCGAAACAGTAATTATAAATGGAAATTTGGTACCTGCACTGTTTTAGACTAACATTAGCTGACATGGGGACAGAAGGGAAACAGTATCAAAGCACAGAGCTCAGTCTTTGTATTTGTTTTAAATACCTAATTGGCAATGTAAACAGCTTAGATTATATTAGCATTTGCACCACTGTATTTCCACAAGGCTCATTACTCTAATTATACAATTAAAATAAATTCAGCTACATGTGTTAACATTTCAGTTCTCAATATAAATTACAACCAATGATAAAACTAGAAATAAGCAGCGAATGTTTTATTGACATCTAAATTGCCTGAGTTAGTCTGTGTAGTTCTTTGAAATGGTGAACTCCCCACATGCCACCCAGCTGTATGGAAATGGTGACAATTTGTCTTAATAAAAACTGACAGTATAGATACTATGAGAGTAATAAAAACATTACATTGAGCATCTAGAATATGACTCGGCCATCACCGCCCATGTGCGTACATGCTATGTACACACTTAAGTTATTTACCTATAACGTGCAAGCTAACTGTAATATAATCAAATCAGACAGAACAGAAAATAACCAATTTAGATGTTTATGTAAAGTCACTAACATGAAAAGGCAAAAACTAGATTAAGGGGCAAAAATAAGGATTGATTGAAAAGCCGATGTGTAGCGGTTTCACACAATGAAAGATCTCTGAGAAGTTCTACAGCAACATAAACACAGTATAAATTTCCTGAGATTTGGAGGTCAGAGTAGGCAAATCAGCTTGTTTGTTCAAGTTAAATTATTGTGGATGACCAATGCTAAATTGGACATAAACTCCTTGGCACAACACTGACGTCACAGCACTACTGCGGAGGCATTAAAATAACTTTATCAGCTTTCACGCCTGAAGTCTGGAACCAATTTCCAATCTTTGGTAACTACTCCTCAGCTTTTTAGCTTGAATAATACTTCAAATTAAGTTTATATAACTTTTTAAAGGCTGAGATCAGACAAAGAAAGCCTTGAATTCAGCTGAAAGAGTGAGGGAATGGTACATTCACACCACAGGGGATCTTATCCCAATGCGTATGTTTTTGAAAACCATGTCTACCTTTGAGACTTAAAAGGTTGGAAATGCACGGGAGGAATAAATGGAGATGCAGATAACACATACCTCCGAGATGATCAAACAGAATACGATTGTTAGAGAGGCACCTTGAAAGCGGTATTAAGGACTCTCAGTATAGACAATGGCCATTAGATATTACTTTAGTTTTCCTTGTATCTTGAGTAAAAGACTAAAACTTTTACAATGAAATATGAAGTGATTTATAAACTCCAGAAAATGAAGGGCACTTCCACTAAAAGCAAAAAACCCCGAAAGAACTACAGAACAGAAAAACGTATGAACAATTTTCTAGTATAGGGAGTGTGTATACATCAATGCCTACCTTCATTTGCAGTTTTCCATTTTTTAAGTAAAATCTGTTAAATTTGTCATTTAAACTGACAAGAAGCAGTAAAATTCAGTCTCTTATTTTTCCCATTCTTCTGAGACTTCCTTAATATTTTTAAGACATTTAGGATATATAACATAAAAACACAGATTAAATATTTGTAGCTGCCAGGTTTTAGCTGTACGGTTTATCATGGATTTTGTGGCATGCTTCAATAGGAAGAACAGCTGGCAGAGCACTACATACTGCTCTGCATCAAAGTAACATGTCTGATACTTATTAATGGATGTACTTTATGGGGTTTTCAGATGAATATCCAAATCCTTTTCTGTTCTGTTTTACTAAGTAGATTTCACAGTAGTCTTGGGACTACGGGACTGTAACTTCCATATCATTATTCACAGAGATTTCTGATGTTATCTCATATATTCCTTGTGTCAGTTGAATCTCCTTCCAAAGACAGATGTGGCAGGATTTCAGAAGAGCAGCTAGCGTATAGAGCTTGTGAAGATTTCAAAGATTCTTAAAAGTAGAAGAGGCTATGTAATGGTATATTATGCTATAATTACTATTAAGCTTGCGGAGGAGAACTTGATGCAACCCCATTTATGCACCAACATAACATCGCCCATCAGCCAGGATTGCTCAAATGCTCGTCTTAAAGGACTGAGTGCTTGCCTCCTCTCCAAGCACCTAATAAGAAGGAAGGATTGGTGCTAAAGGCAATTTTGCACAGATTTAGAATGTTCTTTCCTTTTATGCTTTCCTCTCATTCATTTCCTCTTTGCTCTACTCTTATCTAAACACTTTCCTGTTCACTTTCTATTCTGTCCTTTCTGCTTTCATTTTCAAGCCTCCTATTCTGCTTAGCGCTGCATCTATGCCATTGCAAAAATGTGCAGGAAGGTTTTGCGAACAAACTTTTATCTTGAAAAACTTTATAACCATAAGGTGATGAATATGTATACCCCTCCTCCCTTTTGAGAAGGTGAACAAACTGTTATCCAAAGCATATGATCAAAAAGGCCAATAAAGGACTAATAAACTTCTGGAGGCAAAACCAGAAGGATAAAAAGGAAACATATCCATAGAAGAAACTCTGACTGTGTCTGTACAAATCAATAGTACTTTTCCGAGAGAATTACGAAGATAATTTTTTTTTTTCATTAAAAAAAGTCTCAGTTTTACTAGGAACAGAAATATTCAGTAGCATCTATATAGACAAGGCAGAGATCTTTACAGATTTTGTTCAAGACCAAAAGCCAATACTGAAGACAGATTCTTACTCCAAACCCAAACCCTCAAAAGACCGTGAAAAAGTCAAATATTTCCTCAATATAAATAAAGGATATGGTTATGGCATATAATTTTTAGAGGTTTGGGGTGTTTGCTTTGCAGGAGGGGGGATTTTTTGGTGGGAGAAGGCCCCTGCGTATTGCATAGGGGAAAAAAGGGAGAATTGCGTTAGTATGTTTTTATACTTTTTCACTTTTTCAAATTATTGATTTAATAACCATGGCCTATTGAGTAACATTTTCAAAAGCAAAAGAAAGGAACTGGAAGAAAATAATTGAAAACACCGCATAACCGGAATTGAACATCAAGCAGATATAAACCAACAGTGGGCCAATGGACTAAGCTATATGATACCTCAGATCTTTCCTTTTGGACATCTCTCAAAGTCTCAAAGTCTTGTCTGAGTCCTGTGTTTGGTTTTGTATATTTAGGTTTCTCCTGAGCAGATCCCCCGCTCAAGGAAGTTAGTTCACTGTAGCACAGAGCATTTTGCAGCCAGAGGAGGAACAAAGAGCAGCCATGTGCTAGAGTGAGAAACAAGTAGGCAGAAGAGGATCCCGGCCAAGCATCTGCTCTCCCTCTGACTAGCAAAAGGAGAACCAAGTGTATCTTATCTGCTCAAAAGAGCTGGGGGACCAGGAGCACAAAAAAAACCCCAAAACAAAACACACAGAAAAAAACCCTACCCCACACCCAAAAACAAAAAAAATCCCACCAAGTGCTCCAAAACTGAAGGTGGGTGCTTTCCTTTCCCTGCCCACACTGCAAGCTGAAGGCGGATGGAGAAAATGTCTGTCTTCTCACTGAAAGCATGTAGAGGTGTGCGCACAGCTGACAGTAAAGCAGCAGTACAACACGAGTGCTTATCATCAATACCAAGCAATGAGCTCTGCTTTTCTTCCACTACAATGCAAAGAGCATGAGAGAAATGCTTTGGAAATATCTGAGGTCCTCTCCAACTGTGCTCCTCCACACCTTCAAGACATGGACCCAAGCATCTCCCCACTCCAGCAGATTATTTTGGGGAGGGTCAAAAAAACTCAGACAGCAATTGCATGTAATTGCATTTTTCAATGAGGGCAGTTCTAGTATTATGAAGAGAAAGTAGATAAATTTTAATATAAAAAATATTTCCCTTGTAACAGAATTGGATTTTCAAGTATGTCTTGACTCTAAACATCTATATTTAAAATTGGCTTTCCTGTAATAAAACTTTATCATATAATCCCAAACTCTGGACAAAAAAAAAAAAAAAAAAAAAAAAAAAAAAGAGTTAAAAGTGCTTCGTAGCTCTTGACGTAGCTAGCATCCTTAAAAAAAGTGAGGTATTTTATTTCTGTGTTTATGGCTTTTTCATTTTACATGCTATCACTGCGTATAAACAGTTTAAGCTTTACCTCAGACTTGACAACCACATTAACAGCCTGGAAGTGAATTTTGCTTGAGTTAAAATTCTTATTCAAAATGTCAAAATATACATTTCCAACATCACTTTTATTAAACAAGTACTTAGTAGGCAGCCAACATTCTTAAACCAGTCCTTTACTTGGCCTTCACACTGTCTAAATCCCAGATAACTGTGTGAACATTTCAACCATTTCCAACTTCAGGGGATTTGCTTGTGAGCTTATGTTTGAAGTACCATTCACTTATGCCCTTTCCATCCCATTTACTAAATTCTAGATCATGAATGGAAGAATTTACCACATTATGAAAGTTTGTTCTTAATACTTGTAGTCCTCAGAAAAAGTAGCCTTAAATTAAAAAAAAAAAAAAATATATATTTTCTCCTAATACATGTCAGTATGGCAATGAAAGCATTGGGTTTAAAGTAACAACTGCAAATAAAGCTTTTATGCTGTGTTTAAAATCTTGTGAAGGTATTCAGTATAGATGAAAAATACATTTATCATCTCTGAAAACAGGCTGATATTCATTTTTGAGAGATATATAGCAAGTTAGTTTGGCTCTTATTACTAAACTAAAATTGCTGTTGGGTCGACAGACATGTGAGAACATAATACCTCTTCATGTGTAATCAAAGATTCCTTTTTAAAAAAATGCACTTGTTTCCCTTTTCCTTAAAGATGGAAAATACAGTGTATACTTAGAACATGCATCACCAAAATAAAATTTGCTTGTATTCCTGAAGAATTATCAGTTTTTCAACATACTTAAAAGCTTCAAATTCATGACTAATTACTAAAAAAGCTAAGCTATTTTTCTAAGTCTATGTTAATGACTCTGAATGCTAAAGCTCTACTTTAGCAAAGTAAGCATTATAGATGATGCATTCTGTTTACTAATATAATCCACCAAATGATATCTTTAATGTAAATGACTTTTTTTTTTTTTTTGGTAATAATTGCAACTTCAGGAGTTCCAGCTTGTGATATAACTAAAAGAGGTTCACCTTCCCCAAAACCAGAATGCCAGAATGTTTCAACTGGTTTTGCTACTTTATTTTAAGCCCAGCAGATGGGACAACACTAAGTATTGAAAGCGTGATGATTGTTTTCTCTTCCGCTCTTACCAAACGCAGGTGTAGGACGCCTCTGGTTTAAACTCCTGCTTTTATTTGGGACCTTGTGGCTCTAAACAGTCAGCAAGGAAATGCTGCATAAATATCCACCTGAATTAAAGCAGCAGATTATAATTTTTAAGAGTCCAAAAGGAAACGTCCTTATAATTCAATTTCCCGTGAGATCATAACAGAACGACTATTAAAACCCTGCAGTTCTAACTCATTTTAAGCAGTGCCTTTCCAGTATAGAGTCCATTCCAAGTACAGAGTGAGTAAACCTGCATTTCTTCCTTTCTTAATCAGTGCGACTGGCTTTTGAAAAACATACAATATTCTACAGGAGGCAAAGGCACACAATACAAAAATTAACACAACTAAGATAAAACACAGCAAGTTATGAATCAATTAAAATCCTACACGATACGTTACCTTCCGCCTCGGGCACTGAAAGGCACTACATGGATTCCCAAAGGCCCACCGTCGTTGGAGACTTCTACGAGCTTTACCATATCACTGTGAGACAATGACGAATGAGGGAATATGAACATGTACCGTGAAGGAACCAAAAAACCCCACACAAACATACACAGAAAAACAAAACCGTTCCAGGAATCAAGGCATGGTGATGAAAGCATTGTTGAATGCTACGTACCTGAAGATTAATCTGGTGGCATGAAAGGAGATCAATCATCAAAAACAGTTCAATTAATAAAACAAACAAAAATCAAAGACATTTTTTGTAAACTTAGTTTGCTATATAAAAACAGGTATCATCATTCCATGCATATTTGGTTTATTTCTTCCTTATTCTAAAGTTAAATTTAAAGTAAACTGTGTAGACTGCCAAGCAGAAATACCGTAAATACCACACACGATTTTTCCTCAAAAGCCTAAAAGCTGATCATAGCACCAGCATGCTTTATTTTTTATCTTAGGAAGAGCCCACTCTAAGCCTTAACATTAGCTTTTCCATAACTACCCCTTAATCAAATGCGAGTTATTACATTTTTAGTTGATTAAATTCTTCTAGTTTTAAAATAGGGGTTTTTTTTAATTGTAATTCCGTATCTTTTACTGGAAGCTTGCTCTATCTGTATCTCCTTACTAGGCAAAGTTTCCAAAGTAACATTTGACTCTAACATTCAAAACCAACCAGACATCCTCCTGAAGCAACTATGCACCTAGTTTTCAATTTTACTTTTTGCTGTAGAGAGGGGAAAAGTGAAAGAGGAAAGTACAAGTTCAGAAACAGACAAGCAAAAATTCTAGAAATAGATTTGGACCAAACCTACTGATGCATTTGAAACATGCCCACATCTGGAAAGGTGGAATATAGCCCATAAACCATAAAGAGTTATAAATACCCAAATGAGAAAATACTACACGAAGGCCAAACTTCTCAGTAAATCTGGAAGTGAGAGATCTGAACAAAAGCCACAATCTAAATTTGTGGCTTATGCCTCTCTAGTATTACATACTTTTTCCATATTTCCTGGCACTACAGATACATACACAGATCTCCAAGAAGCTTGTTTTTCATAAGCGTACAAATCAAATTTGATCTAGAAATGGAGCAAAGAGCAAGACCAATGCCCTATGATAGCAGTAAAAGATTTTCTACTTCCTTCAATAAGGTCTTGATCATATGGTGGCCCATCATGAAAGCCTGCGGAGCTTAATCTGGATTCTGAGAATAACCAGACTATATATTGTCAGGAAGTCAACAAAAATCCTGTGTTACTGCTTGTTTCATATTTCTTCTACATTACATTTTTTTAATATATTTTTAAGGTAGCCTTTAGATTTGTTGTATGCCTCAATTCGTGTCTGACTTCTTTAACTCATTTTTTAAGACACCAGAAATGGAAGAAGGCCTCTATCCCTGTTACCACTGTTTAGCTCGAGAAAGTATCGCAACAATAGGAGAGCTGAGACACATCAGCCAAAAATGTGTTATTCTTCAGACCTGGACCAATGTTTTAAGACTGACAGCATTACAGCATTTGGTAATGTTTCCTGTCCCAGCTTCCGTATAGGCTAACTTCATTTCATTCTCACTGTACATTAAGGCTAAGTTTTCATTAACTAGTGTGCAAAGCAGCTCATGGGAATCAAGCAACACCTTTCTGCTCCAAAGGGTACTCTAAAAGGCATCTTTTGCTATTTGTATGCTTGTGGCTCCCTATGATCAACTTTTTTCTGACTTTCCTATTCACGTAAAAGAAAATTGAGGGCTGAGGAAGAGAACAAGTGAAAATCAGTGTGATTCACCTGGTGCTGTCGTAAGTGGAAACACAGCCTTAAATTAAAAAAAAAAAAGTCAGTTTTCATATCCAGCCTACACTGTTTAATTTGTTCTACTGCTTGAGTCAGTAACCTGCCTTTTTTCCAAAATAGACACTTAGGGTCTACACACACATTTTTCTTAGACTTTTTCTTAAAAAAAAAATCCATCCCAAATTGAAATGTTAAACTCTGTAAAATGGAAAACAAAAGGAAATGATCCCTTCCTAAGAGAGTGTTTCAATTTTGCTTCCTGTTTTTCTCAGAAGTTTGGGCCAACTACTTCAAATAAACATACTAAAAAGTATGATATCAAAACAGAAAAGAATGAAGTAGCATATGATGAAAAGTCAATAAGTTACTTAAAAGCAACACCAAGAAGCATTAAATTTGGCAGGAGTTCTGCAAACTCTATTTAGCAAACAGCGTTTGGAATTTACAATGTAACAGATTTTGTAAATGGAACAGAGTAAAACTCAGCATGTATTGCCTAATAGATGTCACCATGATCTTTATCTAACATTTAAACACTGCACCTAATTCATAATTTAATTCAGAAATAATAGGAGCAGAAGATATATTTTTATTTAAAATTTAAGTTTAATCAATTTATAAGGTTTAATTTAAGGGTAGGACGGATATTTTCTCATTAATTCCATAGTGAAGTATGGATCAGCTCTTTGCAATGAAAAGCAAAGGTTTAAGCTTGCGGTATCTCGTGATGAAATAAAATATCCTTCACTGATTTTTTTAAAAGTAGGAGGAGCTTCGCAGTCCTAAACATCACTTTTGATCCATTCACAAAGTATGACGTTTCTGACCACACAACTTATGTGACCCCCACGCACATCTTCCCAGTAGACTGTGAAGTGGTGACAGGAATTAAGACCTTCCGCTTTGAAATTCTTGCCTGTTGATCTATTTGTGCTAGCACTGACCCTATTCCTTCTGTCAAGTTTTCAGAGTTCCATCAAACAGGCATCTTCTTTGAGGCAGAAAATGTAATGTAGCATCAGCACTTATAAATGTCAAGTTTTGAACACGCATCTTTAACACAGGCTTTTTAAACTGTTTAAAAATCTGCTTTAGAAAGGTCCATGATGCAAATTGTTTAAAACCAAACTGACACGTGACCTAAAAAAGACTGCCCCACTTTCTTAAGAGCAGTATCACGCATATTATTCTGAGTTTTTTGCTAGTCTATGTTCAGTCTCAAGACTCATCGTTAAAAGAATGTGTTCTGCCAGTAACTTACTCCAGGGAAAAATTAGTAGCATTCTCCAAACCAGTGTCTGCATGTCCAACAGGCTCAACTCTGCTGTTGTCCTCCTCTGTTCGATCTTCATCCTAGATATAAAAAAAAAAAAAAAAAAAAAAAAGGAATAAAAATCATTTAAACCTAGGTTTAATAGGTTAACTCATTTTAATAATGCCATTTTACCATTTTCAGATTATTGGGGTTACCACATGTGCAGTGGAAACGTGCACTTCCACAACTACAAAAACCTTTTCTATTGCTGTCTGAAACTGTTGTAAATTGTTCTTTGTCACTTTATGTGTTTTTGTAATGATATTTATAGTTTAGTCAGTTTTATATCATAATTTTACTACAGTTATAAAAGCAACGCTATGGAAGCTATCGCAGCCAGCATTTTTTTAAAGGGTAGACACGCAGAAGCACAAAACCAGCCGACGGTCAGCAGGGTTTGGGCAAACTTCTTCCAAGCTCTCTCTGGGCAGGTTACTGGGGACTGGACTGAACACACAAGGCAGCTCTCCAAGGCTCATTTGCAAAGAATTAAAAACAGTGTAAGAAAACGCAACTTGTATAATTCCATAAAGTACCAAGACCTCTTTAAACATTTTATCACAGGCCTTTATTAATAGCATGCCAGAAAAGGCTGACATCAAAGAGTTACGTGAGGCTCTAATGCTAACTAATTGATTTTATTTTTAATTTGACTTTCCAGAAAGTACATACATTATTCACCAAATGTATAATTTTAATGTCACCGTTGTGATTGCTGTGCTTTCAAATTTAGATCAAGGTAATTCAAGGACTACCAGTAAGAAGATCTAGACCCATTCTTACACCTGTGTTAGTCATTAGAAGCTTATGCTTTTAATTACTTGTGTGACCAAACAGAAAATATTGTGAAGTGTGAACAGTAGGTTTCAAACGCAGACTTAGATTCTAGACCCAGAGCCATCAGGTCAGTAAAATAATAAGTGACAGGTTGTGAGTTTAGCACACAGAGTCAGACAACATATTAAATTATTGAAGAGATATTAAATGCAGGCAGAGGCAGTTAGTAATGTCCAATTGACATTTCCACTGAGAATCTGCAAAAGCGGGAGGCTGGATGCATCAAGCTTCCATGGGCTGTAGATATGCCTTGTGCATCCTGGATAGCAGCACACTCTGTGAAGCCAAGCTACTTGAAGATTGATGATCCTGTGTTTTGAGAGGCTTTAATATGCACTTCGTCGTCGATCTCTGTTAAGCACTAGGCAAGTAATACTTTTCTAAGGTTAACCAGCATCTTGAACCTGCCTAGAAATGCATTATGAATGTAAACAAGAACTCAAAATAAAATGTTTTCCATATAGTAAAAAGTTGCTTATAAACCCAATATAAAGGATAATCCATATAATTCATAAATATGACATAAGCTAGTGTTTACATTTCTGTATTTACTGATCTCAGCTGAAGTTCTATATGTACCGCTGTGTGAAGTTTAAAAACAAAGAACTAGCCAAATCTCCATGACAATTCTAAAGTTACATGCAAAAACATATATATTATGTTATATATAGGAAAACCAGAACAACTGGAGGTGTTTCACATTAAAAAGAAGCGCTCCACCTTGCTTCCTACAGCATCTTGCAGAGCACTGTTGCCATGGGTTTCTTGTTTTGAAGGTAGGGACACCGGTGATTGTAGAAAACTACATATTGCACTGAAGCTATTACCTGCAAGTCTAAAATCAGAGTTGCAGATGAAACACAATTTTGAATGTCAGCTATGATAAAAGGTCACCACAAATGAATGTGACTTTGTCAGTACACTGTTCTTGGCAATTTTCCATGTGTGGTCTTTTCAAGCAAACATACGATAAGCATATACACATGTAAGAAGAGACTGAAATAACATCCTAGCTATTAGCGGATATGCCTCTGCTAACAAATAAACGTCTGGCTTTATGCTGTGTCTTTTTAGCAGACGTCTATATAGGTACAATGTAAGCTAGTAACACTTGGGTCCTACACTTTACCATCTTTCAGCCCCACAAGTTTTTCCTTTGAGTAGTTTAAAGTAAGTCTGTAAACAAAACTCCCCTTGCCCTACTCGGTCTTTGCAGCAGTCCTTTGGACTTGCTCTTGACAGACCCACTTTCAGTGCCCTCCTGGGATACAGCCCGCCGTGCAAGACTTGAGCTAAATCCCTGTGGAAATCCTTCTTCCCACCACTTCCCAGCCTTGGTAGTATCTTTGCTCTCATTCCCAGAGCCTCCTAATGTCAGCTCACACTTAAGCCTCTCCGCTTGTTGGACATCCCATTTGCTTTCTTCCTGTTCCACCTGGTGGTCCAGAGGTTTATTCTGCCAAGGGAAGGAGCATCCCCCTGCTTGACCCCGAGGACAGCCAGGACGAAGGCAACGGCCAACTTACCTGCCTCCTGCCTATACCGTATCTTTTAATATTAGGATATAACGCATCAGAAACTGCAAACCAAAAGCTATGTAAAACAGATGCTATCTGGCACGATCACATCTACTTTTTGTGCCTTTTGTATCAAGAATTATAAACACAGCAAGTTTTGGAACCAGACTCACTGTCAGTTATCCAAGCAATTAAGAACCAGCAGCTCCCACACGCCTGTCTGGCTTTTCCCGGGCAGCAGACAGATCTGTATCAAAAACATGCATGTGCCTGTAAATAGGTGCTTAGAGGAGGAATCACAACCCTAACGAAAGCACCACTGCCATAATCAACAGATGTATGATGTATCCTTTTAAAAATCTTTAATATTACAGTAATCAGGCTCTCTTTTCTTCTCAAAATAACACAGATTTTGATTTCCATTGAAGTGAACGGAGAGAAAAATTGGACACCTGCAGAGGGATTTGACTTAAAATTCTGATTTACTAAGAAAAGTAACTAGCTGTGAAAATCTCTGCATCAAGCAATTATTTCTTTATTTGGAAAGTAGTTTTCTTCTGAAAGGCAAATTCCACCTGGATGTGCTATCATGAGGTAAAACGAGGAAAAAGACATTTAGAAGAACAAGAAAGTTTCCGAGAACCCAGGCGGATATTGCAGATATTTCTCAGAAATAGCTGATTTGAGCAAACTCCCAAACTTGTAAGGTTTCTTTCCTCTCCATAAAAACACCGATTCCTGCTATATCAGAAGATACAGCTTTTAATGTACAGCCACGAAAGACAGAATGATATTTGTTTTCCAAAACCGGAACAGAACAACTAAAAGATCATTTCATTTTTACACCACAGAGGAGAATTTAAAGCACCTCTTCCAATGTAATTCTACATATCCTGATGTGTTCGGTGTAAAATTGCCCCGGTTCCCCTTTGCTGAGATGACTCAGCCAGGGCCACTCACCTGGGTCTCGCTGTGCCACCAGACACGGATGTAACTTTCCATAAAGCATCCATGCCATCTGTCATGTATTTAGGCTACTAATACGGAGATTAAACAATAGAATGACAACTTTGAGCAACGGCATCAAACAGAAAGGCAACTTCTTGAAATTTGTTTTAGTTAGTTTAAGAGAATTAGGGATTTCAAAGAGTTATTCTTACTTTTTAATGGATCTGTACAGAATTCCTGTGTCTGGTAAGAGTTAAGTTTGAGCACAGGTACACAGTAGCAGATTCTTGCAAAAATTGTTTTTTAAATTGCCATTGTTCTAAAAATTAAAAAAAAATTCATTATTGTTCTAAGTTCTGTAATAAAATTGACTCAAAAACTGAAAAATTATCTTAACTGCTCAAAATGGATTATAAGTGCTAGCAGTTCTGCCTGTAAAAAGGTCCATTTCACAGTTCACCTGCACAGTGTTAATGAAATGCATATGAAAAGTTGCCAATTTGTTTTGTATTTTTGAGTAAAATTTCCCTACCGCCTCCTAGGATTACAGAATCCTCACAGTTAAGAAATGTTAGCAGTACACTTGCCAAGGGAACTTTATTCAATATATATGAACCCAAATGGCCCCTTTAATTACATGTTCTCAGATTATTTCTGAGTGAAGACTGCCTTGTGTCATTCCCAAAGCTCAAAACCAGCCATGCCTTCCCTACCTTACCGGACATTTTATCTTTCATTACCGAACTATCAGCTCCTGCCTCTGATTAATCCAAAATTACTACCAGTCACTACTTCATCTTCAAAGAAGCACTTTCCCACTCGTCTCTGCTGTTCAATACATTTCTAATCAACTCCCCAAAAACATAAGCAGAGTTTTGGCACATTCCCTCGTGTTTTGACGATTACCTGCAGAAAACTCAATAGCAGCCAGGGAGTCTGAATAAAGTTAGTGCAGTCACTTAAATTCCTACATGTTTCATTTCTGCAGTCTTTATTTCTAGGTGCCTGGTCTGAGAAAGTGCCGATTACAAGCTACTTCAGCCAGACACAATGGGAAACGGGCTCGGAAGACATGTAAGAATTATGTACAAATCTGTCTTCTCTGAACACTTAATCCCATCTCTCAAGTTCAATAGCAACATCTCCGTTCTACCAATAACTCTAAAAAATGGGAGTAGAGGTGTTTGGCTTGGGTGGGGTTTTTTTTCAGTTCAGAAGGATATAATAATTATTTCATCATTGTTCAGAAAGTGGCTGGGTATTTTAGTGATAATGGTTGTATGAAAGAGCGTAACTCTGCTTTCAAATGATTTGAACGCTCCACGGCAAGGTCTGCTACACTGACCAACAGGAGAAAAAATTGACTGGTCACTCATCGTGCAAACAGCAACTATCTTGTTTGCTGAGTAAATTCAAATTAACATTAAGGGAAGCCGTAAGTAAAGTTTATCATAACACATGTGCAGGGAGCTGTGCTAAGGTTTCACCACTGACCTCCCTTGTGCACGTTGTCCTCATTCGCTTCTGCAACCCCCAGTGTTAAATTCATTCCTCTCGTGTCTCTACCGGCACCTCCAACACCAAATACAGGCCCCCTCTCCCCAACCTGCGCCTTCCCGTCCCGACTTTGCTGTGAAGTTACACTCAGTTTAGGGAGCTTAATCCTCCACCTTGTCTGAGTGCCGGGAAGGGGATCATGGAAAGCCAAGAGAGCCAGGGCCGCGGTGCTCGGCAGCCGTGCCGGCCCCAAAGCACAAGCTGCCATCGCAGCCGGCTCAGCCTCGCCACGCAGCCCTCACCTGGGAAAGCACTCTCAACCACCCCGAGATTTAACGTAGGCAGTGAAAAGAGAAAGTCTGGGAAATTTAGCTGTAAATTGTAGTAAATCTGTTTGCGTTGTACACCAACCAAATTTTTTTCTGACTTGTGAAGCCGTTAACTGAGCAGGAGATCCAGCCTCACCAGAAGGATGGGCTCACGTGGGTACACAAGAGCTATACAAAGGAACCGTCTTTTAAAACATCATTAAACTGGTTCGTATTTTTACTGGTCTGCAGAGTAACTGCAGCACAGTATTTTCGCACAGGGTAGATGTTCTCATTACACACCACTTCCAGCATTTTTACTAGAATTAGCAACAGAAAGCAGGGTCTTGAAATGGCAAGCAAATGCAACCATCGCGGTAAACAGGCAGAGCAACCGGCGTGAGCAACGTATGATAAATATATCAGACATACACCCCTCTGCAAATCAAAGTCTGTCAATATACAGCCTCTGTGTTTTGGAAGAAGAATACAAGCTTGTTTGTTTTCTAGCATTTAATTATTTTAAATTTTAGCGTAGTGACTGAAAGTCCTGTAAATACCAAACAGAAAGGAACAGTATATAACACCCACCAGGTACTTTAGATTTTGCTGTAGAGAAGGACACATTATCAATAACAAAAAGCTCCTGAAAGACTGCGCACCAGTGGGTTTTTTTTCCCCAGCCAGGACACAACAAAAATAATGCTTATGTTATTAAAATATACCCTTCCCTTCATCTTTCCCCTTTTATTCTCTTGCACTTCTCTGTAATGATTATGGAAGAAGAGACTGCATTTGCTATTAGTCTCCTGGCAGCCGTGTTTTATAAATGTTTGTTTGGTCCTTGCAACATAAAGTAGGTTCTCTCTCTGTATGATTCGACTTGATAGGAAACAGCTCCTAAGGGACCTATTTTCCTGTGTCTTAACTAGCACAAATATACCAGCATCAGGCTTTTGTGCTAATGTTCTCACTTCTTGATTAACCGGCCAAATCTCCAGAGAATGGCAATTTTCAATCACATCTGAAGAGCAGTTACAAAGATCACATAGGGAAAAACCAAAAGTTATTGAATTAAAAAAAAATAGGGTTTCTCCCTCTTGAACATATATAAGCACAAATAATTAGGTGACAACTTTGTGTAATCCACATCAGTCCTATACTAGGTGCACTGCTATTATCAGTAATCCAGGGAGAGAGAAGAGACAGAGAAACCTTACATTAAATCATCATCCGCTTAAAGCAAAAAAACACAAAAAAATTTAAATCTTTTATACACACACACACATATATATACACATATATGAATTAATATCCTCCTTACATCTCAGTCATCCCTACATTATTCACATCCTTGTGCAGGATGGTCATCCCACAATCAGAAATGGCAATATTCATGTAGTTTCTATATGTCTCACTACTCTGAAATGAAATTTGCCTTGCTCAGTCAAATCAGTGAACAGACATCATATAGACACAGAGGAGTGCAGAATGGAAGGGATTTCCCAGGTCTCTGATGAATATCAAATTCATCCCCTGCTATCACACACAATCATCTCTTACTTCCCGTTTAATAAACTGATCAAGCTGAGCCTTAAAACTGGTTGGCTTCATGATGGCACTATTTCTGTTGTGAAGCACCTTGAAAGGAAATGTTTTTACAGATTTAGAGAGACACCTATTTGATTTCCTATTGTCCACAAAGCAGAACACCAGATAGCCAATGAATATAATTTGATATATCCTTCCTTTGACAAACCTATATGGCACTTCATTCAGTTTTGACTAACTACCATCTTTTCATGCCTAATGACTCTTCTTAAAACATATATTAAAAACCTTGTAATACTAATAAATACTGAGCAAGCCCTATAGCATCTCAATTATTTTGTGGTGTGTATTAGTTTAGAGGCTTACTGAAGCCCATAGTCTTTAGGGGCTCAACAACCTGTGATACGTCACTGAAACCACACACATATGTTCTGTAACAATTTGGTGGCACACACCTTTATCACACAGCTAGCCAGGCTAACAGCAGGAGCACAACAGAAATACTGCTCGGCCATTTAACAGAGCTTGCACCAAAAAAGCTTTTTACTAGATGATGCTGCAGTTAATTGTTTTTTACAGTAAGCACTGCAGACAGCATGGAAAAGTACAAGATCCTTTTAAGAGTTTTAGTAGGTTAGACAAAAGGTTTTCTTGCTAGTGAATTTAACTTGAGACATTTTGCTGGTTCTGCTTCTTTACAGTAAAGAAAATCTTGGACATGACCTTACAGTGGTAGCTTGCCAACAAACAGCATGAAATGCATTAAAATTCAAAGGGTTTTTTTTGTTGATCGAACATGCTTGTTAATTAATGTAGCTGAATGGTCTATGCCTGCCAGAAGAGAAAGAATATTGAGGGGGAAAAAAATTGCAAATACTTAAGCAACTCAGCAGCCCCATACAAGGAAAATGTCACAAAATGGGATCTGATAGAGAAAGAAAACCATAATAATGTCTAAAGCAACACTGATTCCCAAGCATTTCACAGTGTGTATTGTAATTGTATTTCATAGACTGCATTCACTGTTTGAGTGAAAACTACAACATTTGTTTTCCCCAGGCTGAGGGCATCCCACTCCAGATCATTTCAGTGACTTCTCCGGGACTACTGACGGTCCAAGGTGGGAGGCAGAGGGAGGAGGTGTGCTGTAAACTGATAGCTACCGTAACAAATCCGTACATCAAGGTTCCTCTACAGACGGCAAATATCAAGTGGGTAACAAAAATATGTAGCTGTTCCCACCAGATCACATTTAAGGGACATTTTAAAGAAGACTCAAGCGTTATTGTAGCACAACTATTTCATGGTCAGCTATTTTGCAACAGCTCTAAGTCCACAGATATGTGTCACCATAATACTCAGAGCATATCAGAAGAATTATAACTATGAAAATTCAGTGCCCTAAATTTCTGTTCATTGGCAAATGGGTAAATTGTTGCCAAACAGAACCTGATAACACCTTGATCTAGTTCTTATATCAAAGAGAGACTTAACATGAAGACAACATTGGGTCCTTTCTTAATTCCTACACTGACTTGCTATACCACGGTGGCAATAATCACTTAAAAGTGCATTTCTCTCTTAATATGTTGGGAATAATACTCTATGTTTGCAAAGACAAATAAGGATAAGACACTTGGATACAACACTTCGAAAAGCAGTAATATTAAAATGGATCTTAATTGTCTCAGCAGCAGCTTGGGACGCTGAGCCACAAAATGCCTCTTCTTGCCAAAAGACACCAGACTGGCTTCACCTCTTCCTTTTCTTATCACCTGGTAACGCTTGCAGTCCATAACCCACTTTTTAACATTTTATTAGATGCAAAGTATCTGAAGGATTACAAAACTCAAGACATCACATAACGAATTTATGAAACGGTTCACTTACACAGCAACTTATAAGCAAACCCAACCACAGCTAACGGGAATAGCCAGAGAAGATTTGGCATGACCAGACAGGGCGTGCCAGTGCTAACAGTGCCGCCTGTTGGGGAGTCCACTAAAAGGAGTTTTTTAAAAAGCAATGCAATTATAGAAAGTCGACTAAAAGATTAGATGCGACAAGAAAGTACTAACCTCTCGTGTTAAATATTTGAAATACATAAAGCATGGATTGCCACTCTTTCGGTATTAACCAAAGCATCTTAAGAGCTTTCTGAAGATCTGATCAATAACATACTATAGATGTGTCCATTGTATTGCAAAGAGAAGTACTTATCTCATAGACCCATGTACAACTATATCAAATTACCTCAAATTGATTGTTGCCTTAAAAATAAAATGGGTTCATTTTGTGTAACTGCCTAGTTACAGTTTTTGTTCTGCTTTCTGTTTTTCCTCAGGACCCAAAACATATCTGTTTCACAGGCAATAGTCTATGCTCTTTGTTTGTTTTAAATAAGGCTTATCTCCAGACTATTTCCATGTTCAAATCTCTGAAATTTTATACTCTTGTCATATGATTCACAGACGACTTATAGACCACCAGGATCTGCCAGTCTAAAACAAATATTAGGGTTCATATGATATACAGATTCAAAGTCATACTTTGATGTCAGAGTCATGGGAAATATTTTTAATGGAAATACTTATCAGCTTTATTTGGAATGAAGCTACAATTATAGGTCAATGCATAATCAAATTCCCCTGCAAAGTTCAGACCAAAGGCCAGGCCTGGTTTTATGCAGGCTCTTTTATCATTTACTTTGAATAATGCAGGAATTACCTCAATTACAGAGACATCCCCACATGGTGAGCCAACATGAGTGTGGCACTTGCCATGTAACAAACACACTTCTGGTTGATGACTTCTTATACCGTTTCTTTTTCCTTTCATCGTGTTAACTGATATATGCATACATGTCTATATACCACCACCATCCCTGGTTAACTCATATAGTACCTACACATACAGAGAAAATTGCCCCTGCATTGGTAGAAGATGCTTTACTTGAATTACTTCACAACAGGAGTGATTTTTACAAAATGCAGTCTACTTTTCTTTAAGAATTTGAGTTCTTCCTACTCCACAATTCCAGGTTATACAGATCTGGGATTTCAGGAGCAGCAAAGAACAAAAACCTAACATCAATTTTATACGGAGAAGTTGATGTTTACAGAAGGAAAAGAACCCCACAATATACTTCTAACATGGAGCATTACTATGGCATCCAGGCAATAAATAAATAAATATGCATGCTTCTATATGTACACCTATGTATTTAGAAGGCCACAACAGCAAAAACATTATTTTGTTCTTAAGGTAAGAAAAAAATAAATTACATGGCAGTGGTACCACTACAGTGTGTTTGTTTTTTTATGTTGAGTAGTCTAAAGTAGGTCAAGTTAGGCACATCCATTAGTTCTCCTATAAATAGATCCACACTGACTTCACCTGCTTCTAAGTA